AGAGAGCCTTTATATTAGTGCAGAACACTGTACCTTTAATTTAAATGCCCTTGGAGTCTGCTGGGGAAGAGAAATAATACTGACAGTCAGTATGACATGCAGATGAGTGCCGTTGATCTTAGAATCACCGCACACTTCACTCATTTGGGCAGTCACGGGGCCAAAACCAGAGTGTGGAGCCACAGTGTGGCGGTGGAGGCAGCAGCAGCAATGGGAGGCCATACAGCACCCTATGACAAAAATGGAAACCACCAGAAGTGTGAGGAGACCTGAAAGTGGCACATGGCAGAGTGTGGCGATGGAGACAGCAGCAATGGGAGGCCGTACAGGGACCCATGACACACTCTGGACCTGGCAGCAGCATGAGGAGGCGGGTACAGGGGCCCATGACAGATTACGGGCCTGGCAGCAGCATGAGGAGTTGGTACGGGGGCCCATGGCAGATTACGGGCCTGGCAGCAGCAATGGGAGGCCGTACAGGGACCCATGAGAGACTCTGGACCTGGCAGCAGCATGAGGAGGCGGTACAGGGGCCCATGACAGATTACGGGCCTGGCAGCAGCATGAGGGGTCGGTACGGGGACCCATGACACACTCTGGACCTGGCAGCAGCATGAGGAGGCGGTACAGGGGCGCATGACAGATTACGAGCCTGGCAGCAGCAACTTGGACAGGAGGACGTTCAGCTTCTGCACCGTCGGGTGAGTGCTCGCAAACTGTTGTCTCTTGGAAACGGATTCCAAGAAAGACTGCTGACGGAATCCGTGAAGAGGAGTAGCAGGAGAAGGAGCATCTGAACGAGCGGAATATGCCAACAAGCGACAACAGGGGCCCATGACAGATTACGGGCCTGGCAGCAGCATGAGGAGTCGGTACGGGGGCCCATGGCAGATTACGGGCCTGGCAGCAGCAATGGGAGGCCCGTAATCTGCCAGCACCCTATGACAAAAAATGGAACACACCAGCAGTGTGTGAGGAGACCTGAAAGTGGCACATGGCAGAGTGTGGCGATGGAGACAGCAGCAATGGGAGGCCGTACAGGGACCCATGAGAGACTCTGGACCTGGCAGCAGCATGAGGAGGCGGTACAGGGGCCCATGGCAGATTAGGGGCCTGGCAGCAGCTATGGGAGGCCCGTAATCTGCCAGCACCCTATGACAAAAAATGGAACACACCAGCAGTGTGAGGAGACCTGAAAGTGGCACATGGCAGAGTGTGGCGATGGAGACAGCAGCAATGGGAGGCCGTACAGGGACCCATGAGAGACTGTGGACCTGGCAGCAGCATGAGGAGGCGGTACTGGGGCCCATGGCAGATTAGGGGCCTGGCAGCAGCAATGGGAGGCCCGTAATCTGCCAGCACCCTATGACAAAAAATGTAACACACCAGCAGTGTGAGGAGACCTGAAAGTGGCACATGGCAGAGTGTGGCGATGGAGACAGCAGCAATGGGAGGCGGTTCAGGGACCCATGAGACACTGTGGACCTGGCAGCAGCATGAGGAGGCGGTACAGGGGCCCATGGCAGATTAAGGCCTGGCAGCAGCAATGGGAGGCCCGTAATCTGCCAGCACCCTATGACAAAATGGAACCCTGGGCTGGGGCAGGCAGAACCGCCGTATCTTTATCACGGTTTTCCCAGGCCACCGAATGGCGACGCTGCATATGCTGACGCAACGCTGTAGTCCCAACATGGGCCCCCTGGCACGCTTGACTTTCTGGCCACATAGTCGACATACGGCTACGTTTACTTCCTCGGGGCCTTGACGAAAAATTGCCACACCGCCGAGTAGGAAACTTTGCCCCCGCTACTCCTCACTGGCTGACTGCTACTTCCTCCGTGCACACACCGGCACCACTACTGGCCGTGGTGGTAGGCTGCAGTGGAGCTGGTGCTCTACTCCGTGGCGTTTGCCTCCACTGACACTGCTGCGACCCTGCTGCCTCCTGGCAGCAGCAATGGGAGGCCGTACAGGGGACCCATGGCACACACTCTGGGACCTGGCAGCAGCATGAAGAGGCGGTAATCTACAGGGGCCCATGGCAGATTAGGGGCCTGGCAGCAGCAATGGGAGGCCCGTAATCTGCCAGCACCCTATGACAAAAAATGGAACACACAGCAGTGTGAGGAGACCTGAAAGGGCACATGGCATGAGACACTGTGGACCTGGCAGCAGCATGAGGAGGCGGTACAGGGGCCCATGGCAGATTAGGGGCCTGGCAGCAGCTATGGGAGGCCCCGTAATCTGCCAGCACCCTATGACAAAAAATGGAACACACCAGCAGTGTGAGGAGACCTGAAAGTGGCACATGGCATGAGACATGAGACTGTGGACCTGGCAGCAGCATGAGGAGGCGGTACAGGGGCCCATGGCAGATTAGGGGCCTGGCAGCAGCTATGGGAGGCCCGTAATCTGCCAGCACCCTATGACAAAAAATGGAACACACCAGCAGTGTGTGAGGAGACCTGAAAGTGGCACATGGCAGAGTGTGGCGATGGAGACAGCAGCAATGGGAGGCCGTACAGGGACCCATGAGACACTGTGGACCTGGCAGCAGCATGGAGGAGGCGGTACAGGGGCCCATGGCAGATTAGGGGCCTGGCAGCAGCAATGGGAGGCCCGTAATCTGCCAGCACCCTATGACAAAAAATGGAACACACCAGCAGTGTGAGGAGACCTGAAAGTGGCACATGGCATGAGACACTGTGGACCTGGCAGCAGCATGGGAGGCGGTACAGGGGCCCATGGCAGATTAGGGGCCTGGCAGCAGCTATGGAGGCCCGTAATCTGCCAGCAGATGACAAAAAATGGGCAGCAGTGTGATGACCCTGAAGTGGCCAGGCTGAAAGGAGGCACATGGCAGCAGCATGGAGAGCGGTACAGGGGCCCATGGCAGATTAGGGGCCTGGCAGCAGCTATGGGAGGCCCGTAATCTGCCAGCACCCTATGACAAAAAATGGAACACACCAGCAGTGTGAGGAGACCTGAAAGTGGCACATGGCAGAGTGTGGCGATGTGACCTGGCAGCAGCAATGGGAGGCCGTACAGGGACCCATGAGAGACTCTGGACCTGGGCAGCAGCATGAGGAGGCGGTACAGGGGCCCATGGCAGATTAGGGGCCTGGCAGCAGCTATGGGAGGCCCGTAATCTGCCAGCACCCTATGACAAAAAATGGAACACACAGCAGTGTGAGCAGAAAGTGGCACATGGCAGAGTGTGGCGAGGAGACCTGAAAGTGGCACATGGCATGAGACACTGTGGACCTGGCAGCAGCATGAGGAGGCCGGTACAGGGGCCCATGGCAGATTAGGGGCCTGGCAGCAGCTATGGGAGGCCCGTAATCTGCCAGCACCCTATGACAAAAAATGGAACACACCAGCAGTGTGTGAGGAGACCTGAAAGTGGCACATGGCAGAGTGTGGCGATGGAGACAGCAGCAATGGGAGGCCGTACAGGGACCCATGAGAGACACTGGGACCTGGCAGCAGCATGAGGAGGCGGTACAGGGGCCCATGGCAGATTAGGGGCCTGGCAGCAGCTATGGGAGGCCCGTAATCTGCCAGCACCCTATGACAAAAAATGGAACACACCAGCAGTGTGAGGAGACCTGAAAGTGGCACATGTTTGGGGCATGATTCATGGCGGATTTAGTCAGTTGTGTCAGGAACTGGTGGTTTGAAATCCAGACTAATCCACGCCTGATTCATTTTCACAAACGTGAGTCTCTCCACACTTTGGGTGGACAGTCGTGTCCTCCGCGGAGTTACAATACCTCCTGCCGCACTAAACACGCGCTCCGATGCCACGCTACTGGCCGGGCATGACAGCAGCTTTCAAGGGCAAATTCAGCTAGTTGGGGCCAAAGGTCAAGTTTCGTTGCCCAGTAGTCAAGGGGATTGTCTACCTCGGTTGGCAGGGTGCTGTCCAAGTAGGCCTAAGCCTGTTGTTTGAGGTCCTGCTCCAGGTCCACCTGATGCTGCTGCTGCTGCGGCTGGTTAGTAGTTTCCTCACTGCGCTGGTGAAGAAAGCTACTCATCATCGACTGCAGACTGAGGCAGCCGCTGCTGGTGGAGCTGCCACTGCTCCTACCACCCCACCCCTCCCCCTGCTGCCATGGCAGCGGAACGCGAGCGCACAGGGCCCACAGTGTCTGAGGATGGACGTTGGCGCAGAAAGGCAGAGACCAGCTGACTACATAGGTGGTTTTTATATAGTACGTATTTTGGCCTCCCTCTCAGCAGGTGTGAAAAAGGCCACCATTTTTGAACGGTAGCGAGGGTCCAACAAGGTGGACAGCCAAAAGTCATCCCTCTGTCTGATGGTTATTATTCGGCTGTCGCTACGCAAGCAAGCGAGCATGCTATGGGCCATTTGTGCCAAGGAATGCGAGGGACTCCCTGCCTCCATCTCCACAGCATACTGCCACGGTGCGTCTGGGTCCTCTGTCTCCTCCTCCTCCTCCTCTCTACCAGATGCTCCTGCTCCTCCACTCCTGTCCGCTGAGTGGAAAAACCACCCATTTCACTCAATAATTCCTGAGCACCAATGTCCTCCTCTACCTCCTCCTCTTCTTCCTGTCCTGCCCCCACAGGGGTCATGTGGCGTTGAGATCTGTGCGCCACGTCTACCGCACCCTGACCAGCCATTGTTAACAGCATTTGTTCCAGGACGTGCAACAGAGGAATGACGTCGTTCATCCCATAGTCCTGCCGACTCACGAATAGCGTGGCCTCCTCAAAGGGCCTGAGCAAGCGCAGGTGTCACGCATGAGCTGCCAATGGCTGACATCTAAGTTACACAGGGAGTAGTACCTTTACCGCTTGTAACATCAGGAAATCTGTGATGGCCTTTCGCTGTTCGTAAAGGCGGTCTAACATATGTAGGGTTGAATTCCACCTTGTTGCAACGTCACAGCATGAGGAGTCGGTACGGGGGCCCATGGCAGATTAGGGGCCTGGCAGCAGCAATGGGAGGCCCGTAATCTGCCAGCACCCTATGACAAAAAATGTAACACACCAGCAGTGTGAGGAGACCTGCAGTGGGAGTGGCACATGGCAGAGTGTGTGACGATGGAGACAGCAGCAATGGGAGGCCGTACAGGGACCCATGAGAGACTCTGGACTTTCAGCAGCATGAGGAGGCGGTATAGGGGCCCATGGCAGATTAAGGGCCTGGCAGCAGCTATGGGAGGCCCGTAATCTTGCAGCACCCTATGACAAAAAATGGAACACACCCAGCAGTGTGTGAGGAGACCTGAAAGTGGCATGGCAGAGTGTGGCGCACAGAGAGACAGCAGCAATGGGAGGCCGTACAGGGCATGAGAGACTCTGGACCTGGCAGCAGCATGAGGGAGGCGGTATAGGGGCCCATGGCAGATTAGGGGCCTGGCAGCAGCAGATGGGAGGCCCGTAATCTGCCAGCACCCTATGACAAAAAATGGAACACACCAGCAGTGTGTGAGAGACCTGAAAGTGGCACATGGCAGAGTGTGGCGATGGAGACAGCAGCAATGGGAGGCCGTACAGGGACCCATGAGAGACTCTGGACCTGGCAGCAGCATGAGGAGGCGGTATAGGGGGACCGACATGGCAGATTAGGGGCCTGGCAGCAGCTATGGGAGGCCCGTAATCTGCCAGCACCCTATGACAAAAAATGGGAACACACCAGCAGTGTGAGGAGAGGGCACAAGGCAGTGATGGCGAGTGGCACATGTGCATGAGGCCGTACACTGGACCCATGAGGACTCTGGACCTGGCAGCAGCATGAGGAGGCGGTACAGGGGCCCATGGCAGATTAGGGGCCTGGCAGCAGCTATGGGAGGCCCGTAATCTGCCAGCACCCTATGACAAAAAATGGAACACACACAGCAGTGTGTGAGGAGACCTGAAAGTGGCACATGGCAGAGTGTGGCGATGGAGACAGCAGCAATGGGAGGCCGTACAGGGACCCATGAGAGACTCTGGACCTGGCAGCAGCATGAGGGAGGCGGTATAGGGGCCCATGCGGATTATTAGGGGCCTGGCAGCAGCTATGGGAGGCCCGTAATCTGCCAGCACCCTATGACAAAAAATGGAACACACCAGCAGTGTGAGGAGACCTGAAAGTGGCACATGGCATGAGACACTGGGGGCTGGGTACAGGCAGCAACCGCAGTATCTTTAGGAGGCGGTACAGGGGCCCATGGCAGATTAGGGGCCTGGCAGCAGCTATGGGAGGCCCGTAATCTGCCAGCACCAACTATGTAGTCAAAAAATGGAACCACCAGCAGGTGAGGAGACTGAAAGTGGCACATGGCAGAGTGTGGCGATGTTACAGCAGCAATGGGGCTACAGGGACCCATGAGAGACTCTGGACCTGCAGCAGCAGCATGAGGAGGCGGTATAGGGGCCCATGGCAGATTAGGGGCCTGGCAGCAGCTATGGGAGGCCCGGCCCGTAATCTGCCAGCACCCTATGGCAAAAAATGGAACACACCAGCAGTGTGCCTGAAAGTGGCACATGGCAGAGTGTGGCGATGCTTCAGCAGCAGCAATGGGGGCCGTACAGGGACCCATGAGACACTGGGGGCAGCAGCATGAGGAGGGGGTACTGGGCATGGCAAATTACGGGCCTGGCAGCAGCATGGGGAGGCCCGTAATCTGCCAGCACCCTATGACAAAAATGGCCCCACCAGGGCAACCACCGACTGTTTTGCTGACCGCTGCTGAAGCTGCCACCCTGCATGGCAACCCACCTGATGTTTGCTGGCCAAGCTGGACAGCAATCTCCTGCCTGGAAGCAACGCCTGATGACGACGGGGCTGCCAAGTGTGCGATCAGCCTCATCATCATCAATTAGGGTCTCCGCCTCACTACTAGCCCCCTCGGCTGCGTGTGGGTCAGGAGGGAGACCTGTCTCTAGACCGGCTACCGAGCCACTCTCCTCGCCACTACTTCTTCGCCTGGCTGCTGAAAGAGGCGGATGTCTCCCCCCGTTCCTGACCGCCCTCTGTTAGCTCTTCCTCACTGTACAGTGGGGCTGAGCCCACAGCATACGATACTTCGCTTGGTGAGGGAACACCAAAGGACAGGGGCAGGTCGAGGACACGTGATTTCAGTGGGCTTGCTCCCGGGCCATGCAACTAACGGTTGTGTCTGACGTACCCACCGACCGTTGGCTGTAGGTGTCAGAGGTGACCTGGGAAGAGGAAGACGACCGAGCCAACCAATCGATGACGGCAGGGTTGTCGGTGGAGACACGACCGCTGGATGACACCGGGAGCACTGGCCTCTGGCTGCGACTAGTGCTGCCTCGACCCCTTCCTCTGCTGCCACGTCTGCTCGCTCCTAAAACATTGCCTCCTCTGCCACTCCTATGCATGTTGTCTGACATACTCTTTAATTAAACGATTCTGTGTCCTGAGTAACAATTCTGTGTCTGTCCCTGAGTAACAATTCTGTGTCCCTGAGTAACAATTCTGTGTCCCTCCAATTCTGTGTCAGTAACAATTCTGTGTCCCTCAGTAACAATTCTGTGTCCCTCAGTAACAATTCTGTGTCCCTGAGTAACAATTCTGTGTCTGTCCCTGAGTAACAATTCTGTGTCCCAATCTGTAAACAATTCTGTGTCCCTCAGTAACAATTTGTGTCTGTCCCTGAGTAACAATTCTGTGTCTGTCCCTGAGTAACAATTCTGTGTCTGTCCTGAGTAACAATTCTGTGTCCCTGAGTAACAATTCTGTGTCCCTCAGTAACAATTCTGTGTCCCTCAGTAACAATTCTGTGTCTGTCCCTGAGTAACAATTCTGTGTCCCTGAGTAACAATTCTGTGTCCCTGAGTAACAATTCTGTGTCCCTCAGTAACAATTCTGTGTCCCTCAGTAACAATTCTGTGTCCCTCAGTAACAATTCTGTGTCCCTCAGTAACAATTCTGTGTCTGTCCCTGAGTAACAATTCTGTGTCCCTAAGTAACAATTCTGTGTCTGCCCTAGTAACAATTCTGTGGTCCCTCAGTAAGTAAAATCTGTGTCCCTCAGTAACAATTCTGTGTCCCTCAGTAACAATTCTGTGTCCCTCAGTAACAATTCTGTGTCTGTCCCTGAGTAACAATTCTGTGTCCCTGTAACAATTCTGTGTCTGTCCTGAATTCAATTCTGTCCCTGAGTAACAATTCTGTGTCCCCTGAGTAACAATTCTGTGTCCCTCAGTAACAATTCTGTGTCCCTGAGTAACAATTCTGTGTCCCTCCTGAGTAACAATTCTGTGTCTGTCCCTGAGTAACAATTCTGTGTCTGTCCCTGAGTAACAATTCTGTGTCTGTCCCTGAGTAACAATTCTGTGTCCCTCAGTAACAATTCTGTGTCCCTGAGTAACAATTCTGTGTCCCCTCAGTAACAATTGTGTCTGTAACAATTCTGTGTCCCTCAGTAACAATTCTGTGTCCCTCAGTAACAATTCTGTGTCCCTCAGTAACAATTCTGTGTCTGTCCCTGAGTAACAATTCTGTGTCCCTGAGTAACAATTCTGTGTCCCTCAGTAACAATTCTGTGTCCCTCAGTAACAATTCTGTGTCTGTCCCTGAGTAACAATTCTGTGTCTGTCCCTGAGTAACAATTCTGTGTCCCTCAGTAACAATTCTGTGTCCCTCAGTAACAATTCTGTGTCTGTCCCTGAGTAACAATTCTGTGTCTGTCCCTGAGTAACAATTCTGTGTCCCTCAGTAACAATTCTGTGTCCCTGAGTAACAATTCTGTGTCCCTCAGTAACAATTCTGTGTCCCTCAGTAACAATTCTGTGTCTGTCCCTGAGTAACAATTCTGTGTCCCCTAAGTAACAATTCTGTGTCCCTAAGTAACGTTTCTGTGGCCCTAGTAACGGTTCTGTGTCCCTCAGTAACAAATTCTGTGTCCCTCAGTAACAATTCTGTGTCTGTCCCTAAGTAACAATTCTGTGGCCTAAGTAACGTTTCTGTGGCCCTAAGTAACAATTCTGTGGCCCTAAGTAACGATTCTGTGGCCCTAAGTAACGTTTCTGTAGCCCTAAGTAACGTTTCTGTGGCCCTAAGTAACGTTTCTGTGGCCCTAAGTAACGTTCTGTGTCCCTCAGTAACAATTCTGTATCCCTCAGTAACAATTCTGTGTCTGTCCCTGAGTAACAATTCTGTGTCCCTAAGTAACAATTCTGGTGTCTGTCCCTGAGTAACAATTCTGTGTCCCTAAGTAACGTTTCTGTGGCCCTAAGTAACGTTTCTGTGGCCCTAGTAACAAATCTGTGTCCCTCAGTAACAATTCTGTGTCTGTCCCTCAGTAACAATTCTGTGGCCCTAAGTAACAATTCTGTGGCCCTAAGTAACGTTTGTGTGGCCCTAAGTAACAATTTCTGTGGCCCTAAGTAACGTTTCTGTGGCCCTGTGTTTCCCTAAGTAACGTTTCTGTGGCCCTAAGTAACGTTTCTGTGGCCCTAAGTAACAATTCTGTGGCCCTAAGTAACAATTTCTGTGGCCCTAAGTAACGTTTCTGTGGCCCTAAGTAACAATTTCTGTGTCCCTCAGTAACAATTCTGTGTCCCTCAGTAACAATTCTGTGTCCCTGTCCCTAAGTAACAATTCTGTGTCCCTCAGTAACCCTAAAACAATTCTGTGTCTGTCCCTAAGTAACAATTCTGTGTCCCTAAGTAACGTTTCTGTGGCCCTAAGTAACGGTTCTGTGTGCCCTCAGTAACAATTCTGTGTCCCTCAGTAACAATTTCTGTGTCTGTCCCTAAGTAACAATTCTGTGGCCCTAAGTAACAATTTCTGTGGCCCTAAGTAACGTTTTCTGTGGCCCTAAGTAACGTTTCTGTGGCCCTAAGTAACGTTTCTGTGTCCCTAAGTAACGTTTCTGTGGCCCTAAGTAACGTTCTGTGTCCCTCAGTAACAATTCTGTGTCCCTCAGTAACAATTCTGTGTCTGTCCCTAAGTAACAATTCTGTGGCCCTAAGTAACAATTCTGTGGCCCTAAGTAACAATTCTGTGGCCCTAAGTAACGTTTCTGTGGCCCTAAGTAACGAATTCTGTGGCCCTAAGTAACGTTCTGTGTCCCTAAGTAACGTTTCTGTGGCCCTAAGTAACGTTTCTGTGGCCCTAAGTAACAATTCTGTGGCCCTAAGTAACAATTCTGTGTCCCTCAGTAACAATTCTGTGTCCCTCAGTAACAATTCTGTGTCTGTCCCTGAGTAACAATTCTGTGTCCCTAAGTAACAATTCTGTGTCCCTCAGTAACAATTCTTGTGTCCTCAGTAACAATTCTGTGTCTGTCCCTGAGTAACAATTCTGTGTCTGTCCCTAAGTAACAATTCTGTGTCAGTAACCTGTGTCCCTCAGTAACAATTCTGTGTCCCCTCAGTAACAATTCTGTGTCTGTAACCTGTGGCCCTAAGTAACAATTCTGTGTCTGTCCCTAAGTAACAATTCTGTGTCCCTAAGTAACAATTCTGTGTCCCTAAGTAACAATTCTGTGTCCCTCAGTAACAATTCTGTGTCCCTCAGTAACAATTCTGTGTCCCTAGTAACAATTCTGTGTCCCTAAGTAACGTTTCTGTGGCCCTAAGTAACGGTTTCTGTGGCCCTCAGTAACAAATCTGTGTCCCTCAGTAACAATTCTGTGTCTGTCCCTAAGTAACAATTCTGTGGCCCTAAGTAACGTTTCTGTGGCCCTAAGTAACGTTTCTGTGGCCCTAAGTAACGATTCTGTGGCCCTAAGTAACGTTTCTGTAAGTAACGTTTCTGTGGCCCTAAGTAACGTTTCTGTGGCCCTAAGTAACGTTTCTGTGGCCCTAAGTAACGGTTCTGTGTCCCTCAGTAACAATTCTGTGTCCCTCAGTAACAATTGTGTCTGTCCCTGTAACAATTCTGTGTCCCCTAAGTAACAATTCTGTGTCCCTAAGTAACAATTCTGTGTCCCTGTCCCTAAGTAACAATTCTGTGGCCCTAAGTAACGTTTCTGTGGCCCTAAGTAACGGTTCTGTGGCCCTCAGTAACAATTCTGTGTCCCTCAGTAACAATTCTGTGTCTGTCCCTAAGTAACAATTCTGTGGCCCTAAGTAACGTTTCTGTGGCCCTAAGTAAAGTTTCTGTGGCCCTAAGTAACGTTCTGTGGCCCTAAGTAACGTTTCTGTGGCCCTAAGTAACGTTTCTGTGGCCCTAAGTAACATTTCTGTGGCCCTAAGTAACGTTTCTGTGGCCCTAAGTAAGTAACGGTTCTGTGTCCCTCAGTAACAATTCTGTGTCCCTCAGTAACAATTCTGTGTCTGTCCCTGAGTAACAATTCTGTGTCCCTGTAACAATTCTGTGTCTGTCCCTGAGTAACAATTCTGTGTCCCTAAGTAACGTTTCTGTGGCCCTAAGTAACGGTTCT